AAAAGATCTTCCACTCGACCTTCATCACTTTAAAATTTGCTACAGCTTGATAGTTTTTAGTAAATTTTATTACACTACCAACAACAAAAATTTAAATAATCATCTATGTAATATATAGACAGTATTATGGCGACAACATTTTGTCGATCAGTTAGAATAGGATACCTGTAAATATGGTCACACTAGCATAACTGGCAGGTTACAGGGCATCTGTGTAACCTTGGTTACACAGAGAAATGCAAACCAGTACCAGGCAGTGCAAACCTAAGATAAGGCCTTATAGCTATATAAATCTGTAGAACTAAGAAACCAGAGCCTACTTAGAAAGACCTGAGTAAAAAAGTAATACAGATCTTTGATGGTACTACTGTAAAGGTTAGACCTAGAAAACAGATACCAATGTAGAGGAACCAGACAGGCAAGAACCTCAGGTAAGAGGTATCACCAATCAAGCCATCAGAACTAAATCAAAGAAAAAGGATATTAGGCTAGCTCAATATACCAAGAATAGGTTATAGTCTCACCAAGCTATAGCAGAAGTATACTATAAGTACTAAAGATATGCTATGAAGTAGATGCTAAGGTTTGGGAGAACTCTACAAGAGCTAGTCTTATTAATGTTTTGTAAAGTAAGTAGGTAGTTAACAAAAAGGTACTCTGAAACCTTACAGTCAGGTAACATATTCTGAAATGTTTAACAGCTTGATAGATATACAAAAGAAGATAACTAGATGTTGGGTTAAATGGCATTTAGTTGTACAGAAACTAGGTATTACTTGTTTAGATGTAGTATAAGGATCAGAGCATTTAAATAGGTATTCATCTAGTAGATTACAAGCATGGCAGCTAATGTAAAACCCTTGGGCAGACTACTTAAATAGGTAACTAAAAGTTATATGTATAGCTAGTTGCACACTTACCTTGTATGTATTATATGTAATGCATTGACTAAAAACACAAATAAAGGTAGTAGCTACTAATAACATCAGCTTTAAATAAAAATAAAATAAAATAAAATAAAATATATGATAAACAAACTTCTGATTCTAGAAGAACTCAACAAAAGAAAATCAGATATGTATACTATAACCAAATGCCAAATATGCAAAAATAAAATCAAAGAAACTCAAATGCATTTAGCAGTATGCAAAGAATAAGAAAACTTATAGAAAAGAATTCAAAAAGTAACCATCGCAACAGCCTAAAAGAAATTTAGTAAAGAAAAAAAAATCTGAATTTCTTCATATGTGTTATATATAGGGCTCTTTAGTAAAACAAAAATAGAAAAAGTGAGAATAAGAAAGTCTCTAATTAAAGACCTGATTCTAAAAGAAACACAAAATCAATTATAATAACTTTTAAACATAAAGTCAAAACAACAATTTGCAAGTATAATAGCAAATACAGCCTAGAATACATTTTATAAACAAGTATAAAGAGTCTGATATGAAAAGATTAATAAATAAAAAAGGAAAATAGAAATAATAAATAGGTTAAAAAGAGGAAGAAAAAAAAAGATGATGAGATTATATAAAAGAAAAAAGGCAAATCAGCAAAAGATAAAAAAAAAAAAAGAAAATAAGAGAAAAAAAAGAACAAATTAGAACAGAAATACAGAAAACAATGTTGAGACTTGTTATGAAAGGGAGAAGACTCTTTCATTAGAAACTTTAAGTAGTTAGACAAGTAGCTTACTTTTGTTTGAAGTAATGCAGCAGGTTGCACTTAGATATTATTAAAGTGACTGAGTAATGCTAGACTTAGTTGTTAAGAACATTTATGTAATTGCAAAAATAATTTCAAAATCTTAATAAAGTACTAGCATGACTGCTTAAAAAAAAAAATTATTATAGTTATATTAAAATTAGTTAGTGTATTTAGATCTTTATTGCTTGTACCTGCTAAATTTAAATAATTTGCTATATTAAATTTAAGCATATTAATTTTTGAATTATAAAGATAACAAATAAACAATATTAATTTTTTTATACAATCTATATATTGTTTGTATATTATATTCAAATAATCATTCTGCTAAGTAAAATTGATTAAAAAAATTCTTTAAATCAAATCAAATTTTTTAAATAACTTTTTATATTTCATTAAATAAATATAAAAGTTCTTTATGTCTTAAATTTTTATTTTTATATAAAATTTTTAACAACATTTTTATAACTAACAAAATCAATCTTTGTTTTAAAACTTTTTTTAAATAAATTTTCTTTTTTAGTAACTTTTTCTTTTTTAAAACCTTTATTTAAAGGTTTTATATAAGGTTTATATAACAAACATTACACAAAATATCATCTTTTTTCTAGTCTTTCTTCATCAGATCATTTTCTTTAACTTCTATCTACTTTTTACTCTTTAACAAATGAAATTTTTTTAACTCAATGGCTTGATATTCTATGCATTTCTTGATTTCAAACATGGTTTTACTAAATAATTTGTATTATTAAAGTTGATGGATTAAAATAAATTAAAATAATATGTTATAATGCAGTGCAAAAGCTTCAAGTTTACTTAGTAAAAGTGATCATTTTTACTTATGTAGCTTTTCGAAAAAGTGCTGTAAATGTGTGTACAAATGATGGGACGGTCCCACCTGGACTATTTATTACCAACAATATCTAAACCAAATCTACTACTTATGATTCTAAATTTACTACGGGTTTACACCTACAATATATACTAGTTAAACAGTCAGTCATGGTTTATTTAACTTGGTTGAGTTTTAACAAAAGTACCTTTCTTAAGTTAGTTAATTGTCTACAATTTTTATATGAAATAATTTCATATAGCCCAATAAACGTCAGTTTTGAGATCCTTTTGAGATTCTTTTTTGCAGTGAATATCGTTGAAAGTTATAAACAAGTTTTTTTTCAACGATTTTTTGTTAGTAAACCGTTGTGCTACCAAAAAGTACTTTAAAAATGCATAAATAAGTTACCCAGGCAATTGATTTACATCAGCCAATCATACTCTTATATTTTTCGTTCACGAAACAACATAAATTTTGGGAAGACGGTATAATTATTTGATGTAACATTAGACTTTAAACGGAACGTAGTCAACCTTTTAGTTATTAGAATACACGAAATGATTAGTGCGTTTTTCATTTACAATCAGAAGGGCGAAGTCCTCATCTCACGATTATATCGTCAAGATCTGAAGTATGTACTCCATTGGGAATTTTAACAGTATTTAGGCTACTAATTTTTACGTTTTAATTAATTTTAGACGATCCGTAGCAGATATATTTCGAATACAAGTAATATCTAACACCGATATACGATCACCCATAGTTACGCTTGGTTCTACTTCATTTTTTCATGTTCGCCATGAAAACCTTTTTATTGTTGCTGTTACCAAATGCAATGCTAACGCCGCCCTAGTGTTCGAATTTTGTTATCGACTCGTAAACATCGGAAAAGCTTATTTTGGAAAATTGGATGAGGAAGCCGTTAAGAATAATTTTGTGTTGGTGTATGAGCTTTTAGATGGTTAGAATTCATAGAATTCTGTTAAGGCCAGACCAATTAATTTCTGTGGTTTACATTACCCCCTCAGCGTTCCCCCCTCTCCATCATAGTAAAAAATGGTACTATGTAAACTGCAAATCCCCCCCCCCCTCTTCTGGAGGAGAGAGGGGGTAATGTAAAACATAGAATTTAATTTGTCTGGCCTAAGAGTAAAATTTTATTATTCATTCTTAACATTCATCTTTTCAATGTTATTTTCTTCCAGAGGTTCTCGATTTTGGATATCCACAAAACAGCGAGACTGACACACTGAAATTATACATTACCACCGAGGGCGTCAAGTCGGAGCGTGCCTTAGTACATCATTCTTTCTATATATATATATGAATTTTTAATCATCATATTGATATAATATTACATATGTTTAAAATTTTAGAAAGAAGACTCATCGAAAATTACAATTCAAGCAACTGGTGCCACATCATGGCGAAGACCAGATATAAAGTATCGAAAGAATGAGGCTTTTATAGATGTTATCGAGTCAATTAATCTGTTAATGAGCGCCAAAGGTATAAAGAATTTTCTATATAGTATTAATATTATTTAATCTCGCATAAATTACTTTTCATGACAATCAAAAGGTACTACACTAAGGGCCGACGTTTCCGGGCAAATCATGATGAGGGCTTATCTTTCTGGAACACCCGAATGCAAATTTGGGTTGAATGACAAATTATTGTTGGAAAAAGACACTTCTAATAAAGGAATGTACGTACCTAGTCATACTATATCAAGTGGCTTCTCAAATTTATTGAACTGTTTATTAAAGGGCAAGAAAATCTACTGCCGTTGAAATTGATGATTGTCAATTTCATCAGTGTGTAAAACTTGGAAAATTCGATTCAGACCGTACAATCAGCTTTGTACCGCCAGATGGTGAATTTGAATTGATGAGGTTAGAGTTCATTATTTAATAACTTATTGTATTAGTTGAGATCGCATTTGTCATTAGTTGAGCATGCTGTATTTATTGAACCATGAAGGTACCGCACTACTGAAAATGTCATTCTTCCATTCCGTGTCCATCCGGTAGTCAATGAAATTGGAAAATCTCGTGTCGAGTATCGGGTCACAGTGAAAGCGAATTTTTCACCCAAATTATACGCGAATAATGTATTAATAAAGATCCCCACACCGCTTAATACCGCCAATATAAATGTTCGTGTCGCTTCAGGAAAAGCGAAATATGTACCAGCTGAGAATGCAATTGTTTGGAAGTAAATGTTATATATATATTTTTTGTCCATCAATACTATCGATGCTGTCGTTTGTTCACAATTTTGTATAATGACAGAATTCCACGATTTCAAGGACAGTATGAAGCAATGTTAAGTGGAGACGCAGAACTTTCTGCAATGACAGTTAAAAAGGCATGGTCGAGACCGCCAATATCAATGGATTTTCAAGTATTAATGTTTACATCTTCAGGATTATTAGTAAGGTTTTTGAAGGTTTTTGAAAAAAGCAATTATACTAGTGTCAAATGGGTAAGGTATATGACAAAAGCCGGAAGTTATCAAATCAGGGTAAGTTTGAATAATTTGTTGCATAATTTATTTGTAAAAGCCAACAAGGTATTAACATGTTTCAACAATAGTTTTGATATTCGATTAATTAGTTGTAGCACTATTTTGTGCAACCAATCACTCCTAGTATTTTATATTATTATTTTATTTAATGTATATTTTTTTGGACATGTCACGTGAATAATGCAATCATGCTATTAAATACGATCGGATCTTGTATTGGTATTATTTACAATGCGATCTTTGTACGTAATACAGTAATAAAATTAATAAAATGAATTACAGAATTACATAGAATCATATATATGTCTATTAATAGAGAATCTCAAATAAGAAAAATAAGAAACAAAGTTCCACGTTGTACAAAATGAGTATTTCATAAAACTAGTTGATTTATCGTTATTAAACTATTTTGCATCTTTTTAACGACCCATAATCATAAGAGCTGGTAACTACGCAGAGGAAGAATTACAAAGTGTTTCTTGCCTGGAGCAACAAATTTCGTCTTTCGCCTGTAAGAAATAAGATTAAGCATAAAGAGGTCAATCTTTTTCTTCCCGGCTTTGTACTTGCTTTGTACTTGCTTTGTACTTGCTTTGTCCGTTGCCACTCTTCAAAGCCTCTTGCAATAAATATTTGTTTGTCTTTCCTTTTTTAGCGTGCTATTTTTTTACTCGATATAGTTTCGATAACTCCGCCTCATAACAAAAACGATTTTGAAAATTAAACTTTTGTAATTAATGAAGTTTTGACAAACCTTTGTGCGCGTATATAACGTCGATCTCCACGCTCGGGCATTTGCGATTCGTGCGTGGACTAAAACATTTTTATTTTTCTTAATCAAGAAGCTCCATAATATTGCTGCTTCTTTGTAATATACTGAACACTTGTATTTAAACTGGTTATAGTAAAAAAAAAAAAAGTCATGGCTTACAATTCTCGGAGCGACAAAGCAGGTTTTCATCCACTTCATAATAACAGATTTTATGAGGATGGTAGAAGCAATGCTGGATATAATAGCAATCAGCAGCAGCATACAACGGGAGGTTATAATCAAGAGAATCCATATTATCCTGAGAATGGATATAGTAATAATAATAGTTATTATTATTATAATAACAATAATTATAACAATGCATATTCTAGTAGTAATGTAGATATGTATAATAGAAATTATAATTCCAGTACTTTTCAAAACTCCAGGTATTTATTTTTTCATTATATTATTTTCGATTAAGATATTTATTTAACTTCTAATTCAACACGACTAGCCGTATTCCCCCAGCGCCCTATCAAAATTCAAGTTCACAATCAGGTTATCCAAGTTCTCAAGCAAATCTGCCACATTTATCGGGTTATGATAGAAAAGATAATTCAAATCCGAAGTATCTTCCTCCAGGACAGGCTTCGTATGAACCGCTTGATTCTTATTCAGAAGATAAAGAAATGTTACCAACTGCTGGATATTCAGCTGTCGCACCGCAAACAACTGGACCAAAACCTCCAGAAAATTATGATACTCAAAAAATATCTGACTTTGAAGACGAACCTAAACCGGAAGCAAAACATGGTGGTCTGATGAAATTTTTCTGTTGTGGAAGTCGAACATCGTGTGCGAAAACTTGTGGGATTATATGTTGCATCCTTCTTTTGATTATTGTTGGAATTGTAGCAGCAGTTTTACTATTGGGACGTGTACCATCAGTTGATTTCTTAGGAGTTACGGATTCTCCCACCGGCGCTCAACCATATGTTAAGAAGACTTCTGGATTTGATTTTAATTTTGGTCTCCGTATCCAAGTTAGCAATCCTAATATCATTGGTGCAACGTTCTCGATGATAAAAGCTGTGGTAATTTTGCAAATTTTGATAATTTTTTTCGTGTCATTAACTAGACAACGCATCCAATAACAATTTTTATTGAACATTACTTAAAATCTAGGCATATTACCCAAGTCCAAATTCCCAAAAACTTATCGGGCCTATCGGGGGTGGAAATTTAACTAACGTTAACATTCCAAGTAAATCCAACAATACAATTATATTCCCATTTGCTGTCAATTATGATGCATCGATTGATCCAGGATTCTCGATATTACTTGATATCGCAAACAAATGTGGGCTAACTGGTGGTAGCAAGTCCAAATTGGCAATTAATTACACATTGACCTTGTCATTCAATGTTCTTTTTATACCTTTGAGCCCAAGTTTCGACAAGACAGCTAATATAGACTGCCCTATTCAGGTAAGATATTTAGACTACATTAATTTTAGACAACACCTATCTTCATGGAAATTTGCTATCTTAACATTGGCGTAAGTCACGCGAAATATGTTGTGGAAATAGTAAATTTCCAAGGCAGAAATAATTTTATTATAATTATTAATTTTTTTTTTTTTAATAGGATGGTCAAATACCAAACATACCAGGCTTCAACATATCACAGGCTGCAAGTGATTTTAGTAATAAGGCGAGCAAAATTAAAAGATTTATGCCATTGCCGCTATTATGAAAATTTTTTTCCAATATTTTTATTTAATTTATTTATTTAAAACATTTTTATCATTTATTTTTGTGTGGAGACATTTATGTATATGATGTTTGGGGACTTTTTAATAGTAATGCAAACTTAAGCTTATTTGAAAATACATGTATCAAATTTCATATAATTATAATTTGTTTAATATTGGTCGTAAATTGATGCCACAACAAAATGTTATTTACCCTGATAATATCAAACAAGATTTTGGGACTTTGGATCAAGCTTAACAGATGTATATAATTAGAACTTTCTGAATAGTATCTATATAATTGATAAATCGATTTAGTCGACCGAGTTGACTAGATTTAGGGTTATGTTACATAAATTACCATTTTACATTACATGTAATTATACGTAAGCTTTAGAAAACTAAATTTCACATAAAGTACTAGACTTACAAAAGCTCTGCCAGCATTATTGTATTGTTTGATTTGAATGTATGATCCAATTTGTAATCAAAATTACAATTACATGAAATTTCAATTTACCAAATTTTATGTAAAATTAGCATTCAAGAATGAAAATTTTGTTCAAAATTGCAAGAATTAGCATAAGAACCCACTTTTAGTGCTTTAACAAAAGGTTTTCTTGAGTAATTTACTTTCTAATTACTTAATCTCTAACTTCATTCTAAATGTTAATCTTAATATTAATGAATTGTAATAAAGTTTTAAAATTTTTGATTGTATTACAATGATTTATATGATTTGGTACAAAAAGTTTAAATGCAAAATATATAAAAAACAATGTAATGCTATACAAAATTACAATGCTTTATAAAATTAGTTTTTAATAAAGCAAAACATAAGTTTACATTTATAATTAAATACAAGAGGTTTGGAAGAAATTTTTACTAGGTTATAAATCAATTAAGAGTTTTTATTAATAAATGTAACAAAAAATAATTGGAAGGTGTGGTAACTTAGTAAAGTAAATAAGTTGTCAATTCTTCAAATAACAGGTTAGGTATTCAAATCCTATTGATGATGAAAATTTGAATAATTATCTATATAATACTTGTATTATAACAACTGTTTTTAATAATTAGGTTAAGTTATTTGTAATAATAATTATACTAGCATAACTGGCAGGTTATAAGGCATCTGTATAACTAGTTATATAAAGAAATGCAAACCAGCATTAGGTGATGCAAATCCTAAATAAATTTTTATAATTGTATAAATCTATTAAAATTAAGAAACACAAAATTTATTTGAAAAAACCTAAATAAAAAGATAGCACAGATCTTTGACAGTAGTATTGTAAAGATTAAATTATTAAAAACAAATATCAATATCAAAGTACTCAAATAAACAAGAACTTTTAAGTAGAAAATATTACTAATCAAGTTGTCAAAATGGTCTAGAAAAAAATATATTAAATCGACCTGATATATTAATAGACTAATTGTAGTTTTATCAAATTTTTTAAATCGAAAGTTTAAAGAACAGACAAAGGTATACTAAAGTATTAAAAATATGTTATAAAATAGATATTAAGATTCAAGTAAACTCTATAAGAATATAGCAGTTTAATGACTAGTTCTAATTACAAATATTAGTTCTACTTAGTAATATTAGATTAGTTATAAAAATAATTATAAAAGATTTTAGAAGGTTTATCTTAAGGATAAAATAGTTCTAAAATTAAAATATTAATCTAAGAATAATCCAATAATATTAATACAAGTTGTAGGTTTAGAAGTTTTAAAATAAAATACTTATACAAAGATATTATATACAATAATTAATAAAAAACCTTTGAGCAGATTTTTTTAAATAGGTAATATAGAAAAGTTATATGTTTAATCAATTATATATTCTTTTTATTGTTATAGGTGAAAGCCTTCTTAATTTTCACACTATAACGACGACACAGCACAGGGAATCCCTTACGGGTATAT